GAATAGATTTTTAGTCTCATAATATTTATTTATTTATCTCTTAATTTTATATAAATCTTATTTAATAGTATATATATATATATATAATAATCATTTATTAAAAATTTCATTTTATAAATATAGAACTTTTACTTTATATATTTTCTTTAAATTTTTAATACTTTTAATTATTTTAATCTCCTTATTATTTAATTTAATTTCTTGTTAGTATTTAACTCTTTAAAGATGAATACTCTTTTTAATAATTTTGATTTTATTCAAAATATTTTATTTCTATATTAATAATTAAAAAATAATAAATTTAGTAAAACTTTACAAATTCAAGAAGATTAGTTAATACTTGATAATAGTAATCAGAAAGTAGTATATGATCTTGTTACTGAAAGATAACTCAATATCAATATAACTTTAGAAATATTATCAGAATCAGAACTAATAGTAGAAGAAGTTTTAACTTTAATAAATAATTCACAGAGTAATACCAGAGTAAAATGATTTGTGAATTTAATCAATATAGAAATTTCAGAAATAGCAATTATAACAAATATTAATTATCAATTTCAATCTGAACAAAGCTAAAGACAAGAGTTCAAATAATTTTTAATGATCTTTTTGAAAATTGTGATAATTAATCTGATAAATTATAATTCATTAAATATTATTACTTTAGATAATTACTTAAAGAAATATCTAGATAGCATTCAAGAAAATTAATGAAAATACAAAGAGAAATAGCTAATTTAAAGAAATAATTTTTTGATTAGAAGATATTTTCTTCTTGAAAAATAAATTTACCAGTTATTATTAAAATGTGAACTTGAGAAAGCATTTAATTTCTAATAAATTACTTATAATAATCTGATATATATAAGAAATAAAGAAATTAAAGAAATTTTAAAAAGAATTTAATAGTCATGCTAGAGCTTAATCTTACTTAAAGAAATCAAATATTATCATAATAACATAAATTTTTTTAATTTTATAATTTTTTAAACTTGAATTTTTTAATCAATCAATTAATCTTTAGAAGATATGTAATTTTAAATAATATAATTAATATATTAGTTATGGATTTAGTCATAATTTAACAATATTTTGGCAATATTTCTATAATATTTTTGCAATACTTCAAGATTATAAATAAATAATTAGCTCTAAAATTAATAATAATTCATAAATAATTCAATAACAGTTCAAAAATATTTTAAAAATGATTTAATAATGAATTTAATTTATTTTTATCATTTATCTTTTCTTTTTTTGAATATTTATCTTATTTTTTCATTTTATTTTACTATTTGTATTATCTTATACCTTACTATATATACACCCCCCTACCAAAAGTCTTCGGCAGTTCATGATTGGCTAATAAAATTCTATCACGTTAGATTTTTTTAAAATGATATTTCTTCTCGTAGATCTAACTAAATTTAAAGTACTTTTTTTTCTCAAATAGCTAGAAACCAAATCTTTTCAAAAATAAAATTGTCTTAGTCTCTTATCCTGTGCGTTTCTTGAAAAAATGGCAAGTTATCATGAACTAACCATTTTTGAATGTGGAATGATTATTGGACTTTTCAAGGACAATCATGGTGCTACTGATATTTCTAAATTTCTTGAAATATCCAGAACTACTTGTCAGAATGTCATAAATAATTTCCATAAAAAGAGCCTTACAGATGTTGCTGATCATTCTGGAAGACCACCTATTTTGTCTAGCCATGAAGAGCGTACTCTTATACATCAAGCCAGAGAAAATAGAAAAGATTCTCTTGAAGAAATTACTGAATATTTTAACAAACTTAATCTTACCTATATTAGTATGAGTACAGCTAGACATGTATTGCATAAGCATAATTATTTTGGCTGCATTGAAAAAAGAAAACTATTCATTTCAGAGAATAATAGAAAAAAATGGCTTAAATAGTGTTAGACATGTAAATCCTGGAATAAAGAATAGGATAATATTATTTGAAGTGATGAATCCCGAGTTCTTCTGTTTGAAAATGATGGACAGCAATGGGTTTGGCGTAAACCTCATGAAAATATGACTTGGATTGTTTAATTCCTACAGTAAAGTCTGGCAATAATGGGGTAATGGTTTGAGATTGTTTTATTAGAAATAAGCTAGATCTTTTAGTAGTGTTAGAGAAAAATATTACAGGTGAGATGTACAAAAATTTATTAGAAATACATTTATTACCTTACATAGAAAACTTAGACAAAAATATTAGCTTTACCTTTCAAGATGATAATGCTCTTGTACATAGAGCAACTGCAGTAGTTGAATGGAAAGAAGAAAATTTGATATCTTCTATTCCATGGCCTGCTCAGAGCCCAGATCTCAATCCAATTGAGCACTTATGGGATCATCTTGGAAGAAAAGTACATGACCACAAACCCTACCAAAAAATAAGAAAGAACTTATTGTCATTTTGAAAGAAGAGTGGTTGAAAATTGATGGAAATGTTTTAGAAAATTTGGTAGATAGTATGCCACGTAGAGTTAATGCTGTAATTGATAGTGGAGAAAACCCCACAATGTATTAATACTAAATTTAAAAAGTTCATAATTAGATGATTTGAATGATATAAATTTTATTGAGTATTATAAAGAAAGTTATTATGATAATTTGATTTGAAATTTCACAAATTTTTTTTGAAAATCTTGATTACATAACACTGCTGAAGACTTTTGGTAAGGGGGTGTATATATATTTTATTTTTTATTTTACTTATTTGTTTATTAATCTTTTGTCTCAAGATTTGTAATTATAATCTAGAATAGCAAACAAGTTTAGATAGAAACTTATAAAATCTTAAAGATATATAAATATCTCAGCTCAAAGATCTAAAATAAATATACTTGAATAATAATAATTCAATTATCTTTTGAAAATACTTGAGTTATACTTATCTTATAATTTTTTTTAATTTTTATCTTGATATCTTGCTTTCATTTATCTTTTTTATTATAATAGATTAGATTATATTCTGATTATTTATAAGTTTTTATTATCTGAAAAACTTAGGTAGTGAATGCTTTTTACTTAAAATAAGCCAAGTATATTTATTTAATTTAGGAGATTCTTGTAAGCTTTCTCATGTATAAAGGCTTAGTTTGATATTTATTATCTTAGAATTAATATTTATTACTTTAGTTTTTATATTTGTTATATTGATATTGGTATTTATTATCTTGATTATAAATATTTGATACTTTAGTTTTTGTGATCACAATTTTATTTTTATAATTTTGTTTTATTTTATTTTTGTTTTGTATTAATATAATACTTGTAAGTATTGGTACTAGAAAATCTTTAGAATAATTATTATCCTCTTTAATCTTTATAAATAATTTAGTCTTCACACTTAAAACTTATTATAGACTATATTCTTGATAAAACTACTGTAATCTTTCTAGTTATATTATATAATATATCAGAAAAATTCATACAGAAGATTCAAGATATATAGCAATATTATTTGAAATAGAATTCACACAGAAAACTAATTCAAGACAGACAAGATTATTATGTTTAAAACTTATTCTTTATTATGTCATTATTATTAAAAATATAAAACAAAAATAACATCTTTAAATAATAATTTAATATTATATAGAATTAATAATATAATAAATAAATTAATAATAGATAATACTTATATA